CAGTCTGCATGCCTAGGTGCTTGAATTTATACACCTGTGGCCATGGAAGTGATTGGAACACCTGATTCCAATAATTTGGATGGGTGAGCAAATACTTTTGGCAATATAGTGTATTTCATTGACCAAAAAAAAAAAGAAATCTGAAAGCTTATCTCATAATTAGTCCCGCTCCTGTTTTTCACTTCATCAATAAAGTACCCAGCTATAACCCTGGGATTACTACTTGTGGAGTTAGCATGCAGCCATATGGCCATACAGCAAAATCCATCAACAGGTCCATTAATACAGATTCTGTATGGTTTTAGTTTTTCATATGTATCGACATCCTGCATGAAGTTGAGACCTGGTAGTTTTAAACGATTCTGAAGCCTCAGCTATACTCCTTAAGGATCTAGGATTTTGATTTGCGAGATCATTATACCTTTAAGCGTCACTATATGGCCCATTTACTGATTTAGCTGGTAATAATAAAAAAAGGTCAGATGTTGAGAGGACTGCAGCAACCAGTGGAGCTCCAAGGCTAACTGCAGCCAGGGCTAACGTTAGCCCGTCTGCAGCAGTCCTCTCTTGGCATAACCGTGTGTGAAGTACTGCTGGCTCTGATGGTGATTTTAAAAAAACATTTTTTATTTAGCAAAATGCTAATTTTCCTGTGTTAATCATTATTCCCACATTAAATGAAAAAAAAATCATAATGTGTTATCATCTAGAGACTATTAATAACAGGAGGTGAACTGTAGCTCCAGACGAGCTGAGCGTGTGGTGATGTAATCAGTACGCTCCCGTTCTAAAAAAGTCCATACTTTCCTGAGTTCTTCTTAAGAACATACTTGGCGAGAGCACAAGTCCGCACTCGCGTTCTTGTGAATTGAGAAACAGCCAAAGAGGACTGATTGCTTGAAGGGAAGGTTACTTCGTTCCATGGTGACAGATGAGATGATTTTGGTTAATTTTATAGCAAATCCATTTCTCCTGCTGGCTGACACAGACTGAGTAAAAATACAAGAAGGATGTAAGGTGTCACTGGCTTTAAATTGATTTATTAGTAACAGCAGAATGTTGTGTAAAGTTACTGTAATATGAAGATTTAACTGCAGTTTCCTCTGAAATTCATATTAATAAGCTTTAAATGAAGCCTGCAGTGTGTAGATCAATTGACTCTCTCCCACTATAAGTAAGGAATCCAGTTTAGAACTGACAGCTCAGATTGCCCACCTGATCAGTTTCTGCAGCCTAAAACATTCTGCCTTTGAATTTCTCCCCTCCCAGCACACCGCAACGTAAGACAAGGTGGCAACTGTAACTTCCCACAGATAACAGATGATCTAAACCTCCTCAGAAAGTCCATCCTGCCCGGCGCCGCCTTGAAGTGCTGCCTCTTTTTGCTCATCCAGTCCACCTCATTGTTCAGTCGCAACGTCTGCCTCAGACGCCCTATAATGGTGCAGACATTTCTCACCCATCACCTTGAGCTATTAGAAAATTATAATTTTAGCTGATCCTCAGTAAACAGGATTAGTTGTGATTAATCACATTTATGGATTAGGTTTTTCTGTATTGATCATTCCTTGCAAAGCTGCTGGATGATCAATGCAAATGTGCTTATATTGAGGAAATCTTGTTTTAAGGTATCTCCTGATGGACAAAGCAATCATGTTATATTGAAAGTTTGACCTTTTATGGTAGGGGCCTGAATGTGGAAACAGAATCAGCTCCTCACCAGGTTTAAAAGGAGCTTAAACTCCACTTAATTCTAAACATATATGCCAAGAGCCCTCTAAATGCTGCAGGTCAGATTAAATGCAGTCTAAAGAAAAAGTTTTATGTGTTCAGCTTTCCTCTGCTCTGAGCTACACCTTCTCCACTACAAGCCTACTGCCATTTTAAGCACAGCCTGTGTGAATATAATTAATGGCAAGAGCCAAGGACATATCTGTATCTGTTTTCCAAACAGTTCTTATCTAATCTTACTCCAATTATGGATATATATGTGATAAAATGTATAATCTCGCTGGAACATTTGAACTGGTCTTATGTGGTCCAAACACGGTGAGAATGACCACAGAGTCCTGTTTTCTGTTTTCTTTTATTAACGTCATATACAGATGTGGGTAGTCAAACTGGTAACAAGCCTGACATCCAGTTATTTGCATTTCTTGCTCCACAGCAGAGACAGAGACAGGCACTGATGTTTAAAGTCACTGGGGAGAACCGGGTGAAGGAAAACTGTTTTTTACCTTTTGAAGCCAGATTTATCCACCTGTAGTTTTATAGTACTACAGGTGGATAAATCCACCTGTAGTACTATAAAGATAGATACCGATCCCACACCGACCAGACACCGTTCCCACACCAACCAGACACCGATCCCACACCAACAAGACACCGATCCCACACCGACCAGATACCATTCCCACACCGACCAGATACCATTCCCACACCGACCAGATAACGTTCCCACACCGACCAGATGCCGTTCCCACACCGACCAGATACCATTCCCACACCGACCAGATACCGATCCCACACCGACCAGATAACGTTCCCACACCGACCAGATGCCGTTCCCACACCGACCAGATGCCGTTCCAACACCGACCAGATACCGTTCCCACACCGACCAGATATTGATCCCACACCGACCAGATACCGATCCCACACCAACAAGACACCGTTCCCACACCGACAAGACACCGTTCCCACACCAACCAGATACCGTTCCCACACCAACCAGATACCGTTCCCACACCGACCAGATACCGATCCCACACCAACAAGACACCGTTCCCACACCGACAAGACACCGATCCCACACCGACCAGATACCAATCCCACACCGACCAGATACCAATCCCACACTGACCAGATAACGTTCCCACACCGACCAGATACCGTTCCCACACCGACCAGATACCAATCCCACACCGACCAGATAACGTTCCCACACCAACCAGACACCGTTCCCACACCGACCAGATACCGATACCGATCCCACACCGACAAGACACCGTTCCCACACCAACCAGATACCGATCCCACACCGACCAGATACCAATCCCACACCGACCAGATACCAATCCCACACGACCAGATAACGTTCCCACACCGACCAGATACCAATCCCACACCGACCAGATAACGTTCCCACACCGACCAGATAACGTTCCCACACCGACCAGATACCAATCCCACACCGACCAGATAACGTTCCCACACCGACCAGATAACGTTCCCACACCGACCAGATACCGATCCCACACCGACCAGATATTGATCCCACACCGACCAGATATTGATCCCACACCGACCAGATAACGTTCCCACACCGACCAGATACCGATCCCACACCGACCAGATATTGATCCCACACCGACCAGATATTGATCCCACACCGACCAGACACCGATCCCACACCGACCAGACACCGATCCCACACCGACCAGATAACGTTCCCACACCGACCAGATAACGTTCCCACACCGACCAGATACCGATCCCACACCGACCAGATATTGATCCAACACCGACCAGATAACGTTCCCACACCGACCAGATACCGATCCCACACCGACCAGATATTGATCCCACACCGACCAGATACCAATCCCACACCGACCAGATACCAATCCCACACCGACCAGATACCAATCCCACACTGACCAGATAACGTTCCCACACCGACCAGATACCGTTCCCACACCGACCAGATACCAATCCCACACCGACCAGATAACGTTCCCACACCAACCAGACACCGTTCCCACACCGACCAGATACCGATACCGATCCCACACCGACAAGACACCGTTCCCACACCAACCAGATACCGATCCCACACCGACCAGATACCAATCCCACACCGACCAGATACCAATCCCACACGACCAGATAACGTTCCCACACCGACCAGATACCAATCCCACACCGACCAGATAACGTTCCCACACCGACCAGATAACGTTCCCACACCGACCAGATACCGATCCCACACCGACCAGATATTGATCCCACACCGACCAGATAACGTTCCCACACCGACCAGATACCGATCCCACACCGACCAGATATTGATCCCACACTGACCAGATATTGATCCCACACCGACCAGACACCGATCCCACACCGACCAGACACCGATCCCACACCAACAAGACACCGATCCCACACCAACAAGACACCGATCCCACACCAACAAGACACCGATCCCACACCAACCAGATACCGATCCCACACCGACCAGACACCGATCCCACACCGACCAGATATTGATCCCACACCGACCAGATACCAATCCCATACTGATCCTATATCGTTCAGACACCAATACGATCAAATACCTATATTTTCAAAGCAAACACCTCTGCCCTCCCCTTAGAATCCTTTTTAGGTGAAAAATCTATTTAGTGATATCAGCTCATGCGATGGCACAAGAAAGTCCAGAGTACAGATATTACAAGTTGTTGTCTGATCCAAAGTTGTTTTCAAAGTAAAAAAGTATTGCAACACATCAGACATCTTTGCATGGCGATGCACCTTGATTTACAGCAGCTGTAAAGCTTGATGACGCTGAAAGCTTACTTGCAAACTGTATGTTCATATCCTGTGATGAACTCGGATCATTTCCCATTTTCTTTTCATTAATATGGAGTGTCTGATCGGGACGTCCAGGTCACATCGTTCTCTTGTTCGTAATGGTTAAGCGGAGCAGTTACTTCATGGCACAATCACACTTGCAATGACCATTTTGACTTTTTTTCCCCGATATTTCTGTTTCATATTTGCTGTTAACAAAAAGGTAGGGTTAACCCATGACAATCTAGCTGATTTGGTACTTAATATGTCATGGTAAATCATTTGCATGGATTATATTTACCATCCACCAAAAACATTTCTTAGCATGCAAGGCAGCAGAAAGGCAAATCCTTAACTAAAGATGTTATGCAATAATACGTCTCCATAACTGGTTTTTTAACATCTTCCTCTCCCTTAATTCCTCATAGGCTGCTGCTCCACTTGCCAAAGAATGTTGGTGTGATATCAGTTGCTTCTCAGCAAACACAGGGAAAAGGTTAGAGCTTCACCAAATTCTGCATCTGCAAAACCAAAGTTCACCAAAAGTGTTTTAAAACTAATCTCTTCCTTCTTTGTTCAGGCCGAGGCAGAAATGCCTGGCTCAGCCCACTGGGCTGTGCCATGTTCACTGTTGGGGTCCGAGTTGAGCTGGACTCCAGGCTCGGTCAAAGGATTCCTTTCCTGCAACATCTGGCTGCTTTAGCTGTTGTGGAAGCCGTTTGCACACTTCCTGGATATCAGGTATAAGCCTTTCTACCTTCCCTCTGCCCAACAGCTCTAAGGAGAACATTAAAGCATTGCTGCACAGCATGAATTTCAGTTGTCAGATGTCTTAAAAAACATGACGAGCTGAATGAAATAATCTATTCGTAGATGAGTAATATGACTCATAGTGAGCTGTGAGCATTAGTCTCACCTTAAATATATTTAAAAGGTTAAAAGTCAGTATCCACAAGGGACATTCTCTGCCATCACAAAGATTATCCACAGAAACTAGGTTCTTGTTTCATACAGTTTTAATTATCTGTAGTCCTTAAAGATAAATGATTAAGCCTCAGATGGAAAGTCTTCCTCTACCTTTCCATGAGTGTATTGTATTGTACAAACAGACTGTAATGAATCACATCTGTTCTCTTTATGAAGCCCATTAACCCGGCCGGGTTAATCTACTGTAGGATGTTTTTGCCCTTTTTGGGCCCAATCTCCAGTCGTGCAAAATTTTTTTCCATCGGGCCGAGTTTCAGCCTGATCGTGCGTCGTGTAGTATACAGGGGGGTAACGAGTGCCGATCAGCCTCTCACAACCACCTCCCGATCAGGAATCATAAGATCGGGAGAAAAATCAAACATGTTTGAAATTCAGTCGGCCGTTGTGAGGTGTTTGGGGGAAAATCCTGCAGCTGAAGCAGAGCTACGAGCCGATTTACCAGAACCTTGAGCACTGCGAACGTGCAAACAACGGAGTTGTGTTTCTTCTTCCAGATTGACGAGTCCGACCAGCGCCATCTCTCGGCGCTGAGTCTGATGTGTGGTTTTTGGACATATAGTGTAAGCAGGTAGATCGCATCAGAGCATCGGGTCACACAGCGTGAGAACATGCATCGTGAGCTGAGAACTTCTAAACCCTGCGGTTTTGTTGTACATTTTGAGCTGTAGCTGCGTGCAGCGATTAAAAATATCCCACAGTGTATGTCCGGATTAAGAAGAAGGAGTTAAAACAAAGTGCTATGAAGATTTAGAACAGATGGAGAAAAAAAAAACATTTTTTTTTATAAAAGAACTAAATATGAATGACTGACAGCTACATTCATAACATTATTCAATTGTTTTTTTTTTTTTTACTGATTTGTTGAAGTTTTCTTGCATTAAACACGTGATTATTGAAATAAAATAACTGTTTTATTGTCTCAGTGTGTTGAATTTTTCATTGTTCAACAGGACATCAACCTGAGAGTAAAATGGCCCAACGACATCTACTACAGTAACCTGATGAAGCTCGGGGGGGTTTTGGTCACATCCACCGTCGTAGGATCAACTTTTCATCTGCTTATAGGTAAATAAAATAAACAAGCAGGATTGAATGCAGATTTCACACTGTTATACAGTGGGCCTGGAAAGTATTCAAACCCCTTTAAAATGTTTTACTGTTTCATTGCAGCCATTTGCTAAAATCAATAAAGTTTATTTTATTTATCATTAATGTGCACTCAGCACACCATGTTGACAGAAAAAAATTAAATGTAGATATTTTTGTAAATTTATTAAAAAAGAAAAACTTAAAGGGGAACATGCTGATGAAGATTCTCATTCAGGTCGTAGTCATTCCGTAAAAGTTCAAAAAATATCCACTGGACTTGGTTTCCAAGATTTGAAGACGTTTCGCCACCTCTCCAGGAAGCTTTCTCAATTCAAATGTCTGGATCCGTAGTGAGTATGAGTCTTATATACACAAAGCCTTGTTTTGCTTGGAAACATGCAAATGGAAACCGATTCACCGATTAACCAAGCGACCCACTCATCGGTTACCAACCATGCCAGTCGTAACACCTGAAGTCGAAGCCCCAACAAAGGAATGCTTGGCATTAAGATGATATTTAAGGCTCGAGTTGCTTCGGTGAAACAAAAAGTCCTTCTTGCAGTCTGAGCAAACCACAACATGTTTATTTATTGTCCCGTTTTTGTTTTTTTTATACTCGAACTGTCCATCCAGCAGGCCAAGGGGTTCTTCTGATTCCTCCATCTCGCTCAAGTCGGACAAATGAATTGTGGGTAAAACAGGGCGGGACTGTGTTAATGCATTAAAAAAAATATCGCGTTCATTTCAGAAATTAGTCATCTCGCCAGTCATGATGACCAAGGAGTGGCTCTGGAAGAAGTATATCAAGGTTCTGGTGTGGCCTAGCTGGTCTCCTAAACCCAACAGAGATTCTTTGGATGGAGTTCAAACTCTTTTTCTCATATCTTTTTAGATCATGTCTCTCATAGTGGACATTCACCTACGATGACAATTTCAGACCCCTCCATGATTTCTGAGTGGGAGAATTTGGAAAATACCAAGGTTTTCTAATACTTACTGTAGAGATGTCCCGATCCAGGTTTTTGCACTTCCGATCCGATACTGATATTGTTTTTGGACTTCCGATCCGATACCGATACCAACCTATCCGAGCATGTATTTAAGTTTAAGTATTTAGCCTTAGTTGTAAGACTCATGTTGAAAAGGGTTTTAGTACTCTTGATAACATCTAGCCAGCTGAATTTGGTGAGATTGAATAAAACACAATGATTGGTAACAACAAACTTACCTTTTTATTAAGAGATAAACACAAACTGGACAAAATTATGAATAGCAATCTGAAATTGCACAGTGAACAGTAAAACCGTAAACAGTTAAAGGTGCAAGTATTACTGTAAGTTTTAATAAAAATGCAAAGCAGACAAGAGTGGAAAATAGTCTATTAACTTAGAATCAGGACTCTACTCTTGAAAAAAGACACTGTTAAAAAAAAATCAGTGCAAATAATAGTGAACTATTACACAAAAATGCGTTATACTCCCCAATCTCCTCCACACCTAGTCTCCATCTACACATCGCGCAGGATAAAATAATCCCACACGGCTGACATTTTCCCCGCTATCTTCCAATTCACCTGTTTTAATGGTTAGGCCGGGAGACAGACCCGAAAAAGACCTGTGGGTGTGTTGAAGGTGTTCTGGAAAATGCGGACCGGATTCGGGGAACACTGGCGCAAAATAGTGGAATGGATCGTTTCAATCGGCGAAACTGGAAAATATGGACCGTTTTTTTTTTTTTTTACTGGATCGGCAGCCTGTATCGGCATTTTTACATGCTTTGCCGATACGCATTTTTTTGCCAATATCGGCGTCCGATCCGATACGTGGATCGGATCGGGACAAGCCTAACTTACTGTATGTATATGTGAATGTGTATATATGTGTGTTTTGATCTTTCCAATATTTTGAATACAGGATGTGGCTTTAATGTGACGAACAGCAACCCAACAGTGTGCATTAATGACCTGATCCATCAGTACAACAGGCAGAACCACTGCAGTCTGGAGCCTCTCAGCTGCTCCCAGCTCATCGCTCTCACTCTGAACTGCCTGGAAGATCTCATCCATAGTTTTCAGCACAAAGGACCAGATGCTGTTCTGCCCACCTACTATAAAAGATGGCTTCACAGGTTGGTGGTGCAAACTTCACTCATTTTTTTTCTTTTTTTCTGACCATGTATTAAAGCAGCTCTTAAACTAGTTGTAACATGTACCATCCCAGGTGATTGCCAGTTTCTCCAGGTATATTAACACACTGTTTTAAAGCAGGTTTAAACAATTTCAGTTGATTGGTGAAGAAAAACCATCATAAAATGATTTGTATCTTGTGGCTTCCTGTTTTCACTCTTACCAGAAATGTTTAATATGGTAACGGCTAACTAACATTAACAGCCTGCAGCAGCCGGGGCTGACGTTGGCCCGTCTTCAGCAGCCGGGGCTGACGTTGGCCCGTCTGCAGCAGCTAGAGATAACGTTGGCCCATCTGCAGCAGCCGGGGCTGACGTTGGCCCGTCTGCAGCAATTTATTATTATCTAGAGACTATTAATAACATGAGGTGAAAGTAGCTCCAGACTAGCTTTGAATGTGGTGATGTCATCAGTACGCTTCTGTTCCAATTGACCCAGATTTAATCTGCGTGCTCCCGTACTCACATAGTCCACACTTTCCTGTGTTCTTGTCTAGAATGGACTTGGTGAGGACAGGAGTCCATACTTACATTGTTATGAATTGAGAAACTGGCCATTGTTTGATTTCTCTTTTCCTTTGAAATGTTATTTAAAACAGTAGTATTTATTTTTCCTAATATTTAAAATACTAAGAGCTAAGTTGAAGGAGCTAGTTCGTTGAACCCGATGAAACACCCCTGACTGAACCCACCTGTGCTCTGTCCGCAGTGGGACTCTGGTACGTCTGTGGAGCGAGGAGGGACCAGAAGCTCAGGTGGTAGGCCTCGATGATAACGGCTTCCTGCAGGTGTACAATAAAGAGGAAGGCGTCATCTCTGTGGAGCCTGATGGGAACTCATTTGACATGTTGAAGAACCTGGTGGTGAGGAAGCGGAACTAGAAAGAGCTGCTGTCACCCCTTTAGTCTCCCCACTGGAGCAACGCTACCTTCAATTGGATACAAAACGTTCCAACAACAAGAGAGTAATATTTGGATGCCAGCAATTTTTTTTCTTCTGTTTTTCAAATATCTGTGATCTATATTTGCTAAGCCTTATTATATGGCACCCTGTATGGAAGGTTGTCTTTTTTTTTTTTTATAAGTGACCAAAAGTAGTGGGACCTTTTTATGCTTAAATCTGTTTTTATTTCTGTTGTTTGACATGTCAGCTGGATGAAAGCCTGCAGGAAGAAATAAGCTCCCTGAAGAAGTTTTAAAACTAAAAGGTGTTTAAGAAGCTTATTGGCTGTTTGATTGCTTCCTCTTTCCATCTGAAATGTCTTCCTTAAAATAAATTAGTTCTCTTCCACAGCATTACATAAAATGGGAGAAAAACTTTAAGATACATTTTTTTTTTCCTCTTTTATCTCCAAACAAATGAAATAAATATATTATTATTTATAGCAGAGCAGGTTTTGGTTTATTTTGCCAAATTAGAGGTAAAATCTGAAAAGTCATATTTGAACCTTAACAAACAGCACAGTTGGTAACAGTGGTATAACATGAATAAACTATTTTTTTTAGATGGTGGAACAGTTGAATTTACAGAAACAAATTTGTAACTTTGTTCAGTTCCCGCCCAGACGTATACGAACAATATGTAGCCCTAAAGGAAAAGTCCGGTCATATTCAGAATTCAAACTTCTGAAAGTTCTTTAAATATTAAATAATTATATACCGTTCAATAAATGATGAGTGTTTTTAATTCAGTAATTTTCATCTGAATGTGCTTTACTGGAGGCATCCATGTTTGTCAAAGAACACTACTGCCACCTACTGGTTTGTGACGTCACGGTGCGGTATCGGCTGTTGATCAAGTCCCAGTGCTGTAATGCAACGATGAACCCGTCCGTGGAGGATCAGGAATCGGAAAGGTGAAATAGCTAATTATTTTCCCCCCTTTACCCGATGTATTCCAGCATCCAGCCGCCATGCACGTGGGCATTGTCAGTTTCACTATAGCTCTGGTGAATTTCAATGGTGAAGTCCTCTGGAAATGTTCAATAATTGTTGTTGATTGCAGATGTGTCTAGTAGTTCCCATTGATTTAGCTTGTAAAGCGGGGAGAATGGCGCTAGGCTTACCGCACCGTGACGTCACTGCTGGAAGATGGCAGGAGGGAGGGGTTACTATATTTGGGCAAAAATGGCCACTCCCAGACTCAGTGATCAAAACGAAATTTATTGTTTTCATTTTTTTACTGATTAACACTAAATTCATTTAAATCACCACCAACGTATTAGTTTTAGGTATAAATAATGATCCATTGATTATTCCTTGCTTACCGGACTTTTCCTTTAATGAACACCGATTAGAGACGCAACAAATCCAAACTGCTACAGACCCACTGGAGTGAAATGACTGAAAGGCTGTTAAACATTTTATTGTTAAAGTAGAAAAGTATCTACAGGAAAAAGCTACCTTTAACTGTGGTCCAATCAGTTTCAAGAAACTCTGGTAGGAAATGAATAAATGATGATGCTGCTGTTTGCTGCTGTCCTCTGCCAGCGAGCTGAAGGTCCTTCCATCCTGCTGGTGTTACTGGATGAGTGTGGGTCCATTCAGCCCCGCTGGTCACAGCTCTATGTGAATTATTCCTCTGACTATAAACGGGACCAGATTCAGGGACGGAGCTTTTCTCTTGCTGTGGTTTCCCGTTGGATGCCGATCATCATGTCTTTTGTTTGCCACAGAAACTAGCACACTTCTTTATGTTCTTAATCTTGACAGCAGAAAGATTTGAGTCATTCTTTGATATTTTCAGACACTTGGATCTACTTTTAAAAAGTAAAAACTTATTATAAAAGTTCTACTTTAGTCAAAGTTATTTGGGGTGCCGCTAATTATTGGGATGTTGTAAAAAAAAAAAAAAAATCAAATTTTTATGTAAATAAATGCTGTCAGATGACAGATAACTGATCTCTAGTTCCAGTATTTCTTTTTTTTTTTTGCTTTCTGATGCATCAGCATGACTGTCTGATCTCTGGTGTTGCTGCTATTTCACATATCTACTGTAAAAATGTCCACAGCATATTGATTATTTAATATTAGGGTTACTGCACAGTATTTATATTTGTAAAAACAATTCAATTCAGTTTATTTCTATAGTGCAGTTCACCAGATCATCCAGTCCAATTGATTAAGTCCTCTATCTAAGGAAAACCAGTTGATTGCATCGACTCGAAGGCAATTCCTCACATAAAATTAGAATATCATGAAAAAGTAGATTGATTTCAGTAATTCCATTTAAAAAGTGAAACTTGTATATTATATTCATACATTACATACAAACTCATATATTTCAGATGTTTATTTTGTTTAATTTTGATGATTACAAATGACAACAAATGAAAATCTCAAATTCATCATATCAGAAAATTAGAATATTGTGAAAAGGTTCAAAATTGATGGCCCCTGGTGCCACACTCTAATCAGCTAATTAACTCAAACCACCTGCAAAAGCCTTTAAATGGTCTTTCAGTCTAGTTCTATAGGCTACACAATCATGGGGAAGACTGCTGACTTGACAGTTGTCCAAAAGACGACCATCGACACCTTGCACAAGGAGGGCAAGACACAAAAGGTCATCGCTAAAGAGGCTGGCTGTTCACAGAGCTCAGTGTCCAAGCACATTAATAGAGAGGCGAAGGGAAGGAAAAGATGTGGTCGAAAAAAGTGTACAAGCAAGAGAGATAACCGCACCCTGGAGAGGATTGTGAAACAAAACCCATTCAAAAATGTGGGGGAGATTCACAAAGAGTGGACTGCAGCTGGAGTGAGTGCTTCAAGAACCACCACACACAGACGTATGAAAGACATGGGTTTCTGCTGTCGCATTCCTTGTGTCAAGCCACTCTTGAACCACAGACAGCGTCAGAAGCGTCTTGCCTGGGCTAAAGAGAAACAGGACTGGACTGCTGGTGAGTGGTCCAAAGTCATGTTCTCTGATGAAAGTAAATTTTGCATTTCCTTTGGAAATCAAGGTCCCAGAGTCTGGAGGAAAAGAAGAGAGGCACTTCATCCACGTTGCTTGAAGTCCAGTGTAAAGTTTCCACAGTCAGTGATGGTTTGGGGTGCCATGTCATCTGCTGGTGTTGGTCCATTGTGTTTTCTGAGGTCCAGGGTCAACGCAGCCACATACCAGGAAGTTTTAGAGCACTTCATGCTTCCTGCAGCTGACCAACTTTTTGGAGATGCAGATTTCATTTTCCAACAGGACTTGGCACCTGCACACAGTGCCAAAGCTACCAGTACCTGGTTGAAGGACCATGGTATCCCTGTTCTTAATTGGCCAGCAAACTCTCCTGACCTTAACCCCATAGAAAATCTATGGGGTATTGTGAAGAAGAAGATGCAATACACCAGACCCAACAATTCAGAAGAGCTAAAAGCCACTATTAGAGCAACCTGGGCTATCATAACACCTGAGCAGTGCCACAGACTGATCGACTCCATGCCACGCCGCATTGCTGCAGTAATACAGGCCAAAGGAGGCCCAACTAAATACTGAGTGCTGTACATGCTCATACTTTTCATGTTCATACTTTTCAGTTGGCCAACATTTCTATAAATCCTTTGTTTTTATTGGTCTTCAGTAATATTCTAATTTTCTGATATGATGAATTTGAGATTTTCATTTGTTGTCATTTGTAATCATCAAAATTAAACAAAATAAACATCTGAAATATATGAGTTTGTATGTAATGTATGAATATAATATACAAGTTTCACTTTTTAAATGGAATTACTGAAATCAATCTACTTTTTCATGATATTCTAATTTTATGACCAGCACCTGTACAATATTATAGTGTATTAGGTTTGGTTTCATTGGTTTACTCCATCTACTTCTGTCTCCTTGAACCCCAGTCGGCCTCAACAGATGGCGGATGGAGTCACAGCCAAACAGGAATAGACCAGATGAAGCTACCATGATGAGAAAAAGCAGAGAGACAATGAGTCGATGCAATCAACTGGTTTTCCTTAGATCGAAAACTTTGAATCAATCGTTTGACTGGATGATCTGGTGAACTGTAAAGTGCCTTGAGATGACATGTGTTGTGAATTTGCGCTATAGAAATAAACTATATTGAATTGATGGAGTCACAGCCAAACAGGAACAGACCATATGAAGCTACTATAATTAAAAGCAGAGAGAACAGATTCTGCAGAGTGGGAGAATAGAGATAGAATGAAGCAGAATGATGAAAAAGGGGTCCCTATGTCCTCCAGAAGTCTAAGCCTATAGCAGCATAACTATAGAGATAGCTCAGGATAACCTGAGCCACTCTAACTAGAAGCTTTATCAAAAAGGAAAGTTTTAAGTCTAGCCTTAAAAGTAGACAGGGTGTCTGCCTCACGGACTAAAACTGGTAGTTGGTTCCACAGGAGAGGAGCCTGATAACTAAAAGATCTGCCTCCCATTCTAAGATCAACGATGATCTTTAGATTCTGAACTTGTTTTGCATTATGTGTTTTTTTTCCAGCTGTTAATGTTGCAGCGTACTGTGCTGTTAAATAGTCACTGTTCTGTCATTCCGACACGCTGATCCATTATGATCAATAAATACCCAGTTATACCAGCATGACAATGAGCTAAAATAAAAATTATTTAAAAGCAGTTTTATTTTACCTGTTTAGACTGTAGATTTGTATTTGTTTTATATAAAATCAAGAAATAAGAGCAAAAATTTCATCTTATCTGACTCATTCATACTTTATTATGAAACGACCACAACATAAAGACTAACTACTGAGGATCCTTTGAGCTCCCACATGCATTTATTAGAATATTAGATCTCCATATGTTCTGCCTCTGGGTGGAGAACTTCCTTTATATTCAGGGTTTATCCAGCTTCATTGGGAGATTATGGATGGATACCTAACTTTAGCAGCATTGGGTCTCTCAGCGCCTCTTCTTTGGTGTTGTAAAGTCTTTATATCCTCATTTATATAGAGTTAATGATGTAGGAAACATCCAGTCCTTGAACCACGGAGGAGTCTGTAATGATCATTTGGTTTATCCTTTAGACGGCTGATAGCAGGCAGGTTCATATCTATGGTCAGAGGTCAGCCAAGGCTCTGGGGAGGCAAACAAAATGTAGGGAAACATGTTTAAAGCAGGCAAATGTCTGGTTCTGGTTATAGGTCATCCTTAGAACAAAAAAAAACGAAAAACAGAACTAATAGATTTCAATGCATATGGCTGCAGACATTTAGCTCGGCGTCAAAGTATTTCTAATTCGTTACTTGACACCTTTGATGAAAACTACATAGAGCTGCAGAATTTGTTGTTTGTTTTCTGGCTCTGAGTTTCATTTGCTAATGCTGCAAAGCACTAATTGTTTTTTTGTTAAAATTTTGCTCTCAATTCGAGATAGTTTGGCTCATTTATTCCCACATTTTGTCATAATGAGCAAGGCTCAACTTTGGGAAAACTATGCAAAACAGGTTGAGACAAAACAAAATATTTTTTTGCAAATCCTGCCTTTTGCTATTTATTTTTTTTAGGATAAAAATGTTCTGCCATGTTGACAGTATATCAGTGCACCTGTGTGTTTGCTGGAGGTTTTGGAGCTGTCTGCGTTTCACCCATCGGCTCTTTTACTGTCCAGAGATCCAATGATCTGTTGAGGCAGCTGAGAAGAGGCAGCTGAGTGAGGAATTGGCCAATGTTTGTAGGATTTCAGGAAATTTGGAGTGTCCTTTGTGTTGCAGGAAATCAGACCTGCATCAGGGTTCAAGCTAGAACTTCTCTTTCTGGAGACTTTATCCGCTTGATGGATGGATCTCTGTTTCCGGTTCCTTTTCCATGGGGAAGAGCTGGGGAGGGCTGGCTGGAGAAGCCTGGAGATGTGCTGCTAATCATTAATAAAGGCATGTTAGTAAATTATTCTTTTGGAAAAATCTTCCTAAATAAAAATAATTTCATCTTCAGTCCTGCTGTTTTGATTTGGAGCTTTTTACAAAGAAATAAACCAGAAAAATCATAAAAAAAAATCTCTTCACAGATTTTATTTAATAGTTTCAGTTTGTTCAAATTAAAAGACATATAAATAAAATAGAGTATAAGTTTTATTGACCTAAGTCTGTTTTAAAAAGGAAGAATATCTTAAAATACATTTAATCATTTCATCTTTACTCGTCTTTTCTCTCCGTTATTTAATACCCTAATGGAAGTAAGAGATTTCTCTTTTATTTATTTTATTGCTTTTACATATTTTTATATTGTTTTCATTCATTTTGAGTGCATTTCATAGTGTTTGTATGTCTGCTTTTGTGCAGCACTTTTTTTATGGTGCTATATAAATGAAGCTGGATTGTTTTGGACTGAGTGTTCAAGTATTGAACACACCACCATTTGTCTCAGTAAATAAATTTCTAGAGGTGTTTGTTTTTACCAGATGTTTTCACCCATCCATGCAATCCACACATAAAACGAAATAAAAAAATAGATGTCCAGAAATTAAGTTATGTGTTACGATGTCAAATGTCACCGGGGAAAAGCATTGAACACTTTGAGAATTACGAGGTGCAAAAAGGCATGGAAAGCCAAAACACCAGCCCAACGTCCGCCTTACTCCTAAATCCCTTAAGTTCCTTATGTTCCTAACAGAGTACTTCGCTCTCAATCTGCAGGTTTACTAGTGGTTCATAGAATCTATAAAAGTAGAATGGGAGGCAGATCTTTTAGTTATCAGGCTCCTCTCCTGTGGAACCAACTACCAGTTTTAGTCCGTGAGGCAGACACCCTGTCTACTTTTAAGGCTAGGCTTAAAACTTTCCTTTTTGATAAAGCTTCTAGTTAGAGTGGCTCAGGTTATCCTGAGCTATCTCTATAGTCATGCTGCTATAGGCTTAGACTGCTGGAGGACATAGGGACCCCTTTTCATCATTCTATCTCTATTCTCCTATTCTGCAGAATCTGTTAGTTCAATCTCTAACCTTCTGCTCTCTCTGCTTTTTCTCATAGTAGCTTCATCTGGTCTGTTCCTGTTTGGCTGTGACTCCATCCTGGAGAGAAATATCACCTGTGCTGCTGCCATCAACACATTTGTTTCTAGATGTTGTAGATCGGCCTGTTTTTCAGTGTAGTCCTGTTTCTCTGGCTGTGACTAACTGGATGTGCTCTCTTCATCCTCTGACAGGGGAGCTGGCTCGGAGCTCGTCTGCCTGGCTGTGTGTTTCCTGGACGGGGCCGCCTGTGGAGCTGGTTGACAGTTGCCTTTTGTATCTATGCTTGTTTTTCTATGTCTGCTTCTGTCTCCTTGAACCCCAGTCAGCCTCAGCAGATGGCCGCTCACACTGAGCCTGGTTCTGCTGGATGTTTCTTCCTGTTCAAAGGGAGTTTTTCCTCTCCACTGTCGCTACAAGCATGCTTAGTGTGAGGGATTGCTGAGAGTCAATAAGTCAATGCAATCAACTGGTTTTCCTTAGATAGAAAACTTTGAATCATTACAATATTATAGTGTATTAGGTTTGGTTTTATTGGTTTCAGGCTGAAGTGCCTCGAGATGACGTGTGTTGTGAATTGGCGCTATATGAGTAAACTGAAGGTTTCTGTCTCCTTGAACCCCAGTCGGCGTCAGCAGATGGCGGATGGCGTCACAGCCAAACAGGAACAGACCAGATGAAGCTACTATGAGAAAAGGCAGAGAGAGCAGAATGTTAGAGATTGAACTAACAGATTCTGCAGAGTGGGAGAATAGAGATAGAATGAAGCAGAATGATGAAAAAGGGGTCCCTATGTCCTCCAGCAGTCTAAGCCTATTCTTTACTACTGTTCAATACTTATTTCATCCACTGTAAAGAAATTGGTCTAAAAATATATAAAAGCAACAAAGCAAGTAATAAAATACAATGAAAAAGCTACCTGGTTATAAGGAGCTGGTCTGATTTTCACCTGCTGCCGGGCAGCTTTGGTTCTAAGCTCTCTGTGGTTTTCCAGGCATGAAGCAAAGTGGGGAGAAGGCTCAACAGCTTGGATCTGCTCTGCAGAGAACTGCAGCTCTTTGTACTCGGTGCTTCTGTGCACAAAAAGACACAAACGATCCTTAAAGTTTTCTTGTGATATTTTCTATTTCTGGAAGGCAGAAGGCTGTAAACTCACGTGAGGACGTAGTTCACACTGACCACGCAGTGAGGTCTGGAAGAGCGACTGTTGTGGACGATGGTAGCATAGCTTTGCACCCACACCCAGCCTCCATGCTTCGCTAACATGCGGTAATACTTGGTGGTGACTTGTCCTTTAGTGAGCACTGAAAGGACACAAAGAAGCAAAGTATGACTTCTGATGGTCGTCTATCCAAAAGATTCACCATGTTTGATTTCAGTGAATTTGCTCCAGTTAATAAAAGATTATTTGATTTAAGAGGAAATGCCTTCATAGATATAAACCCACAAACACACAGATTAAAGAATGTATAGCTCAGCTCAAAGTAACACAGCATCAGTCAAAAACCTATTTAGAATATTTTAAAAGTGGAATACCATTCTGAAGCTTCTGAGAACTTTGAATTTTATGTTCTGCCTGAGGGGCAGACATGTGAAGAACCTCAGAACAGCAGGGTTAAAACATCACCTTGGAGCATTTTGTTAAAGGAAAAGTCCAGTCATTTCAGAATTCAAACTTCTGAAAGTAATTTAAATATAAAATTAGTCCATCCTGTTCAATAAATGATCAGTGTTTTTAATTCAGAGTAATTTTCATGTGAATGTGTTTTACTGGAGGCATCCATGTTTGTCAAAGAACACTACTGCCACCTACTGGTTTGTGTTGTCACGGTGCGGTATCGGCTGTTGATCAAGTCCCAGTGCTGTATCTGGTGTTTGTCACAACGCGCTATTATCCAAGTCATCTTGAAAACATTCTTCTTCCAAATGTTGGCTACATATTACGTGTTTTTTCTCTGGCCAGAAGTTCGATGGCAAATCCTCCCTCTTCAAGTTGGCGATCCAACGACCAACCCGTCCGTGGAGGATCAGGAATCAGAAAGGTGGAATAACTCTTTTCTTTAACTTTTACCCGATGTATTCCAGCATCCAGCCGCCATGCACGTGGGCATTGTCAGTTTCACTATAGCTCTGGTGAATTTCAATGGTGAAGTCCTCTGGAAATCTTCAATAATTGTTGTTGATTGCAGATGTGTCTAGTAGTTCCCATTGGTTTAGCTTGGAAAGCGGGGAGAATGGCGCTAGGCTTACCGCACCGTGACGTCACTGCTGGAAGATGGCAGGACTGCTGACCAGACTTTTCCTTTAAATGTTTGTAGAAAGTGTCTGTTCTGCTGCCACAAACTTCTCTGCATTACACAAAACCCTTTTTCCACATCTTAAAACTATTGCCTTTCCTTTCCTGGACCCTTATGGATGAATGGAGTATAAAACAATTTAAGATTGAATTTATATACCGGCTTCTGGATGCCTTCAAAGGTATGATTGTTGCAGCTGCTTTTTCATATTTACGTTGTACCACGCTCCATACCTGTGCTCACTGTGTCTATAAAATGAACTCGGTGGTTGAATTGTGGAGAATCTTCGCTTTCTAACAATGTCTAACATATCTATATTGGTAAAAGATTAACCCGTGTTATTTTCCAGCATACTGCTGTGTTTGATGTAAATATAGAAAAACGATGAGCCAGCGAACCAGTGGCATTTAAGATGTCTTCTTTATTTTATACCATCCACTATATATATCTGGATACACTGTATATAATTCATGTACCTTTTCCTCCTTTGTGCACCTTCTGTTGTTTATAACCACTGATGTAACAAGTGAATTTCTCAACTGTTTTTTTTTATTTTTTGCAACACTAGTAGCTGTTTTTTTTGACAGTAGGCTGACAGGAAAGGGGGGCTGAGAGAGGGGGAAAAGGACCACAGGTCAGACCCGAATCTGGCTCAGCCGTGTCGAGGACCAAGGCATCTGTGCATGAGTCATGCGCGCTAAACACTGCGCCACAGAAGCACATCAAATATCTCCATTGTGAGATCAATACAGTTCTATCTAATCTAATCTAATCTTCCATCAGTTAGTTGTGAGTCTGTGTTGATCAGATTAATTGTAACAAAACTGTATGCAGCCAGTGTTAATTTTGTCAAGCAGGACGATGACAAAAACATTTTGTCCCTTTTTCCCGTGACGATGACGAGACGATGCCGCACAAAAAGTGTTTCCAGGAAATAAAAATATGACGAAAATAAAAAATTATTTTCGTTAACGAGACTAAGACCAGACGAAATTTACGGGAAATGGACGAATGGACGTTAAAAAGTGTAATTGTTTATGATTAATTTATAATTGTTTATATAAGTGTTTCTTGAGTTTAATAGAAGATTAAGCGTTGTTGCCCTGTTTGTCCCTACATGGCGCCTGTCCCACAGGTCAATAGCAGCAGAGGGCTTATACTACTAGTTTAACTTCGCAGTCATTGCATGGGGCTCAGATACCTGTGTACAGTTTGTTGTAGCAAAGAGTCACCAAAGAGTCTGCGGCTTCAAAATGGCAGGGAAGAATACAAAGAATCTCAAACAACATCTGAGGTGCCAAAATGCTGCCATATGATAGAAGGAAAGGAACGGTTGGGCCTGGAGTAGTAGGAACGTGTGTGTGTGGGTGTGTGCTTTCCTGTATCTGTCTGTCTCTCTGTCATAGAAGAAAGATGTTCTACTGATACACTGGATATTAATCGTTTAATAAAATTTTCTTCCTCCCAACTAGATTCCTGACACAGTGACACCACAGCCAAATCAGATTTGGGGAAGGAAGGGAAGTCTGTTTGAGGATGAAGACTTTGTGGATAGGACGAAACAAGCCGACAAAAGGTTCAATGTGTTCAGTGGGATATATGTTAAAAAGAGAATCCGGGTGAGGTTTTATTCTGTACAGTGTTATATAAATAAATATATAGCACTCTCTCTGGTCACCTACAATTTTGGGGAGGTGCTCCAGAGTGTCTGCGGAAGGGGGGGGCATATCTGCGTTAACTGGGACACACACGCAGATTACCTGGTTTCTGAGCATAAACCAGGCTTAATTCCTTTGGGTCTTTTCACCTAATATGAGGTTTTCTGTTCATTTCTCTTCTTTATTCAGAAATGATGTGTAAATGTTTTGGTGTTGAACACACTGGGCTTGAATGTTGCTAATGCATAACATATACAGGAGGTTTAAACTGGGGGATGACATGTTAGATGATTTAGCCAGTAAGAGATGTAGAGCGGAAGCAACACTAGTGGCTTCTGCTAAAGTTGTAATAGTTAAACTAGTCCATTTAACTGCCACCCTGACATCTACCCGGACGGTTGGATAACTCACGTAGATGGTGGGAATAACGCAGTTGCAGAACATCCCAGGTGTGAACGTGGTGGTATAGGGTTTTCTCTACAAGGTCCTGAGGCTCATAACCTGTCAGCTCGGTAACCCTGGCTCCGGCAGAGCAGAGAACACAGGTTACACACTGAAAGGCTGCAGCGCACTCAAGCCTGTTAACAGCAGAGCGGACTAAGTGAAATTCTCCAATAAACAGAAACTTTTTCTTACCTCATGTCTAAAAAGATGAGCTTCAAGTCGAGGCTCGCCCGAAACATGAACATGTTGCTGTAAAGTTTGATCTCAGTGATCCCGCTGGGGGGCAGGGAGTGACCCACCGCCACTAGACCCAGAGTCTGATAGCAGCATTCATACAGTGTCATCTCAGTCCGGTGTAGACGCAGCTTCAGGTAGCCACTGCAATGGATCACCTTGGAAAAACAGGGTGCCATGGTACTTTCCACAACCATCATAGTGTAAAGCAGCAATTTAAAGACATATTCTAAGGGAAAGGAAGACTACTTAAAGGAATAGTACACCCAAAACATGATTAGCCTTCATTTTCTACTCACCCCCATGCTGAACAACACTCTGGAGTACTTTTTTGATATCTCAAATGCATCTGGAGATCTGGGAGGCTTCTTGCTGTCTGCTGACATTCAAATAATGGAGGTCTATGGTGCCAGAGACAGAAAGGTCCATAAAAGTCCACAAAAACGTGTCAATATTCCTCCATACTGCTCGTCCAATGTATTCCAAGTGTCCTGAGTGGGTAGCGTCCATAATTTACTCGAAACGAAGTCATTTAGAATGTTTTTAGAGCATAAACAGTAGTGTATAGGATTTCCTGAAAGCGCGCACATGCGCGCTCACGACGCTACGGAAGCCGGCAGACCAAACCAGCGCATTCAGCTCGGCAAAGAACTCATGCTCTTCCTCAACACTGAAGTCCTCAGACATTTTTCTTTCGTTGTTTCTTTCTTTGCACAGGTAAACAGCACATTTCTTCTTCTACGCTTGCATTATTGGCAGAGCAGACGCTGAATGCGCACTTTCATCTGGTTTGGTCTGCCGGCTTCCGTAGCGTCGTGATCGCGCATGTGCGCGCTTTCAGGAAATCCTATACACTACTGTTTATGCTCTAAAAACATTCTAAATGACTTCGTTTCGAGTAAATTCTGGATGCTACCCATTCAGGACACTTGGAATACATTGGACGAGCAGTATGGAGGAATATTGACACGTTTTTTGTGGACTTTTATGGACCTTTCTGTCTCGGTCGCCATAGACCTCCATTATTTGAATGTCAGCAGACAGCAAGAAGCCTCCCAGATCTCCAGATGCATTTGAGATATCAAAAAAGTACTCCAGAGTGTTGTTCAGCATGGGGGTGAGTAGAAAATGAAGGCTAATCATGTTTTGGGTGTACTGTTCCTTTAAAATGATTTTTACTGAGGGGCTGTAAAAGGGAAAGTCAGCTGACTGCACTTTAAAGTGGATTTCAACCTAAAGAGACTCACACAGAGAAAAGACACAGTTAGAAAACTATTCAGTCTATTTATACAGGTAACAAAGTCATATTCTTGAAAATATTTCTATCTAAGGAAAACCAGTTGATTGCATCGACTCCTTGTCTCTTCAGCAATCCCTCCCACTGAGCATGCATGCAGCGACAGTGGAGAGGAAAGTAAGAAACCTTCCAGCAGAACCAGGCTCAGTATGCAGAAGCAGATATACACATAAATTAAATAAGTTCTTTGATGGTTGGGCCCCAGAAAAATACTTTGATGCTGTGAATCAACATACGTAGTAACCTAGAAAACAATAAAAGCAGTCTTCCCCAAGGGAACACTGGTGGTGGAATAAGCCAGAGGGGGACTCAGAATAAGGGAGTAGATGGGGTGGAGGGGAGTGAAAGTTTGGTTGTTTGCAGGAGACAGAAGCTAGGCCAGCACCTAAAAGAAGAGGATGTGCACCAAATGGAAAATAAAAAATGACAACAAAGGAGGTTTTATTTTCTTTAGGAATCCAAAAATTGGTTAAGCTTTTGATACTTTAAGTTTGCTGATTTAAGCTGATTTTTGGCTATTTGATTAAGGAGGTAATTTAATGACCCTTCAAAAATAAAAATAACAAAGAAATAAATGGTTAAATGTGCGGAATTATAATTGGAGAATTATAATTCTGCACAATAAGAACTGCCTCAGCAGGCAGAAGCTGCAGAACTTCTATCAGTTTGCTGCGATCTCATCCTCCATCATCTGCTGGGAAAACAGCATCAGAGCAAACGACTGAAGGAAGCTAACAGAAAAAGCCAGTTCTAATTTGGGAACCCCTCTAAAAACTCTGGAGTTGATTTTAGAAAAAAGTATTTTTTTTATGAAATGATTGTGATTATGGAGAACTGTGAGCATCCTGTTCATCAGACTTAAAAACAACAGGGTGTCTTCAGTCTGCATCTCCGGAACTGCTGCTGCTGGTGAGCGGCTTTAAACATTTGAAGTGTCTTTAAGAAACCCATGAATCCACCTGGGATGCATTAAGTATTTTTGTATTGTTTTGGTTTTTTTTTACGAGTAATTGGTGCTTTACATGTAGAGTTTACTCCAAGCTGTCCTGGTTAATCTTTCAAGCCTGAAAGTCGATTTTACGAAAATGCAAACTCATACTTCACCTCAAAATGAATTCTGTAGCCAGTCTCAATTCTAAACAAGTACCATTGCTTGGGTTTACAGTTTTTTTCTGTTGAAAATTGCTGATTGGTCAGCAGAAAAGCTTTTGTTTAATGCAAATAAGTTTGATTTCAATGGATTCAGCTTGTTGTTGCCTTTCATTAACAAAGAGTCTTTATTCACCACTCTGTGTGTCGTGGAAACCAGACAAATAATAAACAGCAAATGCAGATATAAGAATAAAGTAGATACTTTTATGCAGGAGTGTCAGATGAATATCTGTACCTATGATGAGTCTGTCTCAGCCTCTGTTATTGTTGATAAGCAGGAAAATTCCCAATGTGAAGTTTTTGGCTTCAAAAACACAAAAATTTGGATGGTGGATCAAACTGGGGTCAACTTCCAAAAAAAATAAAATAAAAAAATCAATCCACTGGACTTTGTTTCCAAGTTTGAAGATGTTTCTCTTTCCATCCAGGAAGCTTTTTTAATTCAAAATGTCAGAAATAACATTGACTTTGAGGCTTTATGGGACAGGTGTCAAACCGGTTCCAGAAAGGGCCGTGTGGCTGCAGTTTTTCTTTCCAACCAAGCAGTAGCACACCAGACTCAATTCACGTCATCAAGTCATCATGTTCAGATTGAACACCCTTGATCAGATGACTGGAGTCTGGTGTACCATTGCTTGGTTGGAAAGAAAACCTGCAGCCACACAGCTCTTTCTGGAACCAGTTTGACACCCCTGCTTTTTAGAGTGGACCAAAAACAAAGCCTTATTTTGGCTTAGAAACATGCAAACTGAACCTGACCAGTGGGTCCGTCCCTTTGGAATGGGAGTCGTTTTGTTTCTATTTTAGCCTATAATACCCAAAATCTGTCTATGTCTCTGAAAAGGTGGTCATTAAAGGGACATAGACAGTTTTCACAATAATTCGGAAAAAAATATTTTAGTGCAGCAATGATGAAATGAGAGCACTCTCTGTTCCTTCTAAATAACAATCCATTCCTTAACCCCTTGATCTTTATCTAGTTTTCATATACAAACAGCTCTGCAGAAAAGGAAACAGTATGTAGTGTCTATCAACCTGTTGTCGGAATATTTTGATTTCTCTTCTATTATATATTAATTTATCCTATCTACTCACTATAAAAGTTTTCACTGAATCTGTTTCACCGTGAAGGCCACACCATTCTCTGCAGGATGGTGTTTGTAGACCAGACATTGCTTCTTCCCATAACAAATCAGATTCTTTCTCAAGGTTTATTCATAACATGTTACTGTTAACCAAAGTGTCTGTAATTTATTTTGACTCTGACTACTTTTCCATTGTTGTAAGTCAGGAGGAACGAATGCTGCCCATGCAGAACAGGACAGAATGCTGTGCCATAAGGGCTGTATGATTAACTGTTATCTCTTTGTAAAGATATGAATAAATGTGCCGACTGAGTGAAATCCATCGATCTCCTTTTATTTAACCAGGGTGAATAGTTTGAATACTTTTTTCCCATGACACAAACCTAAAAAAACTCCTGGATAAGATTTTGAACTCCAGCGTTGAGTGCTTGCATGCTTGGAAGTTCTGACTCTTGGACGGCAGGATGCTTGAATGTGTCTTAAATGGCCAAGCTCCATCTTATATCAGAGATCTGATTGTTCCTTATGTTCCTAACAGAGCACTCCACTCTCAATCTGCAGGTTTACTATTGGTTCCTAGAATTTCTATAAATAGAATGGGAGGCAGATCTTTTAGTTCTCAGGCTCCTCTCTTATGGAACCAACTACCAGTTTTAGTCCATGACGCAGACACCCTGTCTACTTTTAAGGCTAGGCTTAAAACTTTCCTTTTTGATAAAGCTTATAGTTAGAGTGGCTCAGGTTATCATGAGCTATCTCTATAGTTATGCTGCTATAGGTTTAGACTGCTGGAGGACATAGGGACCCCATTTCATCATTCTGCTTCATTCTCTCTCTATTCTCCCACTCTGCAGAATCTGTTAGTTCAATCTCTAATGTTCTGCTCTCTCTGCTTTTTCTCATAGTAGCTTAATCTGGTCTGTTCCTGATTGGCTCTGACTCCATCCTGTTTGAGTCATTGAGTCAGTGCAATCAACTGGTTTTCCTTAGATAGAAAACTTTGAATCAATTTGACTGTATGATCTGTAAACTGCCTTGAGATGATACGATGTGAATTGACAATATATAAATAAACTGAATTGAATTGGATTGTCCCTCCCGATGCTTGAACGCACTGTTGGACCCTGCGACGCCATCCCCTATAGACTTTGTATGTAAATCAGAAGCTTTGAGTGATGCTTTATGGGACTCACAGCATTAATGAAGCACAACCAAAGCACAACTTTTTCTGTCTGCCAGAATCCTTTCTTGTACTCCAGTGATGAGGAATGGAGCGTTTGGAGTACCATCATCAGGTGTGGGCTTGGAGAACCACCTCAATTGAAAAGTGTCTGAGGTAGTTTGAGCATTGAATGACTCAACTCAGCAGAAGACCAAAGATACTCTTATTATGAAGTGTATATTCAACTGTTTGGAAGCCTTTGCAGATTCCTAACAATAATTCCACAGTGGAAGTGGAGAAGGTCTGGTTTCCTTTTTGGACCTGTGACCCAAAACCTGATAGCAGTTTAGTAAATAAGTAACTGGGCGGATGGGTGTTTGATTCATTGAGAGAACCTGCAGCTGGGAAATGTCTTAGTTAACCTACCCAGTTTGGAGGACCTGGGCCCATGTTCCAAATCTGCTCTGTTCCATATAACAGACAGAGCTGGAGTTTGGTTTACTTTCTTCTGGTATTCTGATGCTAATTGCATATCCGACTTTGAAAAACCTGAACATGTTGTATTTGGTTTGATTATGGTTGTTAAAACTGAAACACTTTTGTTGTCATAGATAAAGAACTAGATAGGGGTAAAATAATTTCATGCAACCAGGCCTAGTGGTGCTGTGAGAAAATCTCAAACTGTAGGAACAGAAAGCAAGCTGTACATACCTTATAGCCTCCATAGGTTAACCCAGCATTCCTTTTTGCAAGGACGCATTTCATCCTCAAAAAGAAGGATCGCTCAATTTCATATTCTGTTCAGGAGCATAAATATCCAGATTTAATGATGTGTTGATACAAGGCTTTGTTTATATTCTGTAGGAAAGTTTTCTTTTTATACCTTTACTCATATTATTTAGTGTTGGAATCAAGACCACATCAACCGAGATCAAGGAGTATTGAGACCTTTAGAAGCCGAGACAGGACCAGGACCTCATATGGTGTTGTCTCGGTCTCGCCCTCTTAAAAGGCCTCTGCAGTTCCCGGCCTTGACTCAGTCTCTAAAGGTCTATCCCTTTTATCTGCCTCTTAAGATCTCTGCCTTGTCTCAGCCTCTAAAAGTCTCTGCCTCTAAAGGTCTCGGCCTTGACTCGGTCTCTAAAGGTCTATCCCTTTTATCAGACTCTAAAGGTCTCTGCCTTGTCTCAGCCTCTAAAAGTCTCTGCCTCTAAAGGTCTCGGCCTTGACTCGGTCTCTAAAGGTCTATCCCTTTTCTCTGCCTCTAAAGGTCTCGGCCTTGACTCGGTCTCTAAAGGTCTATCCCTTTTCTCTGCCTCTAAAGGTCTCTGCCTCTAAAGGTATCGGCCTCTAAGGGTCTCAGCCTTTTCTCAGCCTCTTAAGGTCTTGGCCTTGTCCTGGCTTCTAGAGGTCTCTGCCTTGTCTCGGCCTCTAAAGGTCTCTGCCTCTAAAGGTATCGGCCTCTAAGGGTCTCCGCCTTATCTCGGCCTCTTAAGGTCTTGGCCTTGTCTCGGCTTCTAGAGGTCTCTGCCTTGTCTCGGCCTCTAAAGGTCAATCCCTTTTCTCCGCCTCTTAAGGTCTTGGCCTTGTCTCGGCTTCTAGAGGTCTCTGCCTTGTCTTGGCCTCTAAAGGTCAATCCCTTTTCTCAGCCTCTAAAGGTCTCTGCCTCTAAAGGTATCGGCCTCTAAGGGTCTCAGCCTTTTCTCAGCCTCTTAAGGTCTTGGCCTTGTCCTGGCTTCTAGAGGTCTCTGCCTTGTCTCAGCCTCTAAAGGTCTCTGCCTCTAAAGGTATCGGCCTCTAAGGGTCTCCGCCTTATCTCAGCCTCTTAAGGTCTTGGCCTTGTCTCGGCTTCTAGAGGTCTCTGCCTTGTCTCGGCCTCTAAAGGTCAATCCCTTTTCTCCGCCTCTTAAGGTCTTGGCCTTGTCTCGGCTTCTAGAGGTCTCTGCCTTGTCTTGGCCTCTAAAGGTCAATCCCTTTTCTCAGCCTCTAAAGGTCTCTGCCTCTAAAGGTATAAGCCTCTAAGGGTCTCAGCCTTATCTCAGCCTCTTAAGGTCTTGGCCTTGTCCGGGTCTTGCCCTCTAATGATTTTTGGCCTCTAAAGGCCTCAGCCTTGTCTCGGTCTCTAAAGGTCTCTGCCTTGTCTCGGTCTCTAAAGGTCTCGACCTTGACTCGGCCTCTAAAGGTCTCAACCTTGACTCGGCCTCTTAAGGTCTCAGCCTTGACTTGGTCTCTAAAGGTCTCTGCCTTGTCTCGGTCTTGCCCTCTAAAGGTCTTAGCCTATAGAGGTCTCTGTCTCTGTCACGGTACTCCTTCGTGTTGGATGGTGGGGTCTTGACTACAACGCCAATTTCATTATTAAACAGCAGGTTTATTTGGACCTAACATAATCAATGATGAACACATGAGGCACACCTCATCCCTCCACACACAACAGGTTGAAAGGATTTTCCATGTTGCTTTCTAGCCAAGTTACATTATTCCTGGTTCAAAATTTTACAGTATAGCTGCACTTCTACACAAGATGATATGAAAATACAAAATATGAGCATTTCTAAAATTCAAACTGCCTCCTAAACTGTGAGGGCTTGTGGTACCTGGACAGAAGTAGTGATGCCGTGGCTGTTGAGCACTTAGTATTGCTGTCACCTCATCATGGTCTGATGGGTGGATGTATTCAAATATACTATTTCCTGTTAACTCCACCTGCAACATAAACATTTACAGCAGCTAATATTTCTTGCAGAAATTGTAACAATTGAACGTTTTTGAAGCAAATAAACAAATTTGTTGCTACATTTTATCAAAAACCTACAGACCTGAAGGAGGGAGGGCCCTACCTGGGATAAGCCGAGGTGGACTGATGCTGTTTCCGAGATGTACATTATTTTCCCATCGGGTCCAATGACAAACAGGAAGCCATATAGAGTCTGAGGACCAAAGTGACAAGCAGCTGATATTTTATATAAAATTGGTAATAATTTTTTTTTTAAAGAACCTTATCATCAGAACAAAACCTTCTGCCTGCATATGAATATTTTTTTTAAAATACTGATTTGATGATACTGTAATTTTTCTATAAATAGATTCACATTCCCTGGTTAAATACAAATACATGAGCAATCAGTAGGGATATCTGACGCTGTGTGTAAAACCAAAATCAATGAGTAAAGCAGTATTTACCATTTACCATGATGGACTGCTGGTACGGTTCTATTTAGTTTTTATAAATTCTTTTCTGAAATGATTTGGAACAAGATCAAGATAGATTATTTCTCCTTACAAAAGAAGAAAAATATTTGGAAATTCTCATTTTACATAAATTCCCATAATCTTTATCTGGGTAAAAAAAAGCGTCTGTTCATCTCAATTATTTGTAAAAACGAATGTGTTAGGCAGAAATTCTTTTTATATCTTGAAACAATGCAAAATATTTAGAATTGCAATGACACTAATTTCCAAATTACAATTTTAGATTTAGACGTAGACTCAACTTTATTTAAAACTTGTAATTACTCCTGAAGGGAAATTCTGGTTCCATTAGGTTATATCGAGTACAAAGAGCTAAAGCAAGATGACATTAAAGATAAAAATAAAACAGATGATTTAAAAAGAGTGTTTAAAGTACAAAAAAGTTGTAATGTCCTGGAATATGTTTAATTTAGACATAACAAATAAAAATATCTACACAGTATAGAGCTAAGGGAGAACTACACACTACTTTACTTGGAATTTCTGCACTTGCACTGCAGAAATGTATTGACCATATAAATAAGTAAAATTAATACAGACTACACAGAAGTTGACTTGGATTATTGCAGTTGTACTGCAGAGATGTACTGACCTTATAAATAAGTTAAAAAAAAATTACACAGGCTACACAGTAGTTGGCATGTGTTATTGCACAGTAAGAGAATACAATATTGCACGAGTGACAATAGGAAATGTTTTTTATAGGATGTCCAAGGAGGGGGGTGCTGACCCTTGCCCCTCTTCCCATCACCTCCTCCTTCCCCCAAAAAGGAGTTGACAGCTTGATGACTTGAGGAACAAAGCAGTTCAGCCGTCTGTTGGTCCTACATTTGGGAGGAGCAATCTCCCACTGATCAGGCTCCTCTGACTGGTGAACCTCTTAGAGAAAACATGCTGATCAATAGAAGCTATTGCTGGTGAAGATTCACAGTCATCCAGGTCATAGAAATTACAAAAAAAAACTAAGAAAACAATCCACTGGACTTTGCTTCCAAGTCTGAAGATATTTACTTCCCATCCAGGAAGCTTTTTCAATTCAAAATGTTATGGCTTAGAAAACATAACATAACACAAATTGAATCAGAAAAAACAGGTCCGCCCCTTAGTAGTGGAGTTCACTGAGGTCTTTGTTAGCCTGGATACCGGATACTGGCCTATGCCTCTGAAAAGGGTCACTGGTAGCCTGGCTGACCAGATGAGATGTTTGGTCCCCTGCATAACAATGAGGATTATTTTGATAGCAAGAAATGTTAGCTGCTGTTGAAAAAAAATTATTAAAAATACTTTGCACAATTAACACATTTATTATGAATATTTAGGGAAATGATTTTGACTTTTTTATTTTACTGTTAAGTGTATTCTGCTTTTGATTTAGTTCACGGAAGCTAGGTTGTCAGGGCAACATCAAGAGGTCACCAATTAAAGAGGTATCCCGCTCACGGCAGCGGACTAGTAAATTTACAGTCTAGTGACAGAATCGAACAGGAAATATGGCACAGAAAGGCATTTAGGATTCGTATGCTCATGAGAGACTTTATTTCCACGACCCCAGAGTGCACCTCAACATTTGGACTCCTGTTTTGGTGTCCAAATGTTGGCGGTGGTTTGTTTTTTTAACTTTTTTTTATTTTTTATTTTTTTTACTTTTTTTGGATTGGAAACTATTGTTTTACTATTAATTAGGAGAGAAAAAATTCAAACCAAATAAACTACAAGTTGATGAAGTATTTATAAGTTTTCACATAAACTACAGTATAAAATAACATCAAAACAAAAAAGGAAGCAAATTAAAACAATGAAATACCTTGAAACACATCTCAGGGTAAAGATGTTTATTAATAAAAGCTCTTCTGCTGCTTTTTAGCCAGCCTCTTCTACTACATTGTTTCAATTTATGGGCCTGATCTTTTGCAAGTGATATAAGCTATAAGATGTTAAAATGTGCAAAAGTTTTTTTTTTAAAGAAAAAGAGCAGATAATTAGTGATACTGGCAGCTTGATGAGTTTCTAAGTCATGTGTTTGGATGGGGTCAATAATAATAATAATAAAATAACGATAAAGGTGTTACTAAATATTATTTGTGGTGTACTTCTCATAGATAGCCAATCTCAAAGTGCTCCAAACAAAAGTAAAAAAAATTATGAAAATAAATTGAGTTCAATACAAAGAAATATTAATTAATTAAACACCAGGAAGTTATAATTGCTGAATGAGGTGCTATAGATGCGCCAATTAACCTAATGGTTATGTTTTTGGTATGTAGGAGGAAGCAGAAGTATCTGGAGAGAACACACACGTGCACACGCACCGATAGTATTAAACTAGTTAAGTAAAACAACATACTTAACTCTCATTCCAAACATCACAGATTATACTAACTTGTAAAAGATGGGAGCACAGGTCCTTGGTCACGCTGCCCAGAGGACCGAAACTTGGTAAGCTGTCCCACCCGTCTCCAAGACCTGTATGATGGACATGATGACAAAATATTTCAAGTTATGCATCAGACTAAACATGAATATGTCTGCTTCTGTCTCCTTGAACCCCAGGCAGCCTCAGCAGATGGCCGCTCACACTGAGCCTGGTTCTGCTGGAGGTTTCTTCCTGTTAAAAGGGAGTTTTTCCTCCCCACTGTCGCTTACAGCATGCTTAGTGTGAGGGATTACCTTTGAGTTGATGAGTCAAGGCAATCAACTGGTTTTCCTTAGATAGAAAACTACAATCAATTTGACTGGTTGATCTGATGAACATTAATGTGTCTTAAGATGACATGTGTTGTGAATCGGCACTATAGAAATAAACTGAATTGAACAGACTCAAATAGAGTAGAAAAGAATCAAACATCATAGAATAGAATAGAACAGCATAAAACAGGACAGAATACACTGAAAAAAGGAAAATCTATACAAGTGTAATAAACTTGAATTCAGCATTTTGGTCTTATTACACTTGTTTTTCAATGTATTTTCTTAGTAAGACTGAATATTGTTAAGATTATTTGACTTGTTTTAAGAAAATTCATTTTTTTAATCCGAACTAGATAATAAAACTAATTCTGAGCAGCTTTTTTCTTAAAATAGCTCACATTGCGGACTGAGTCTCGTTAACATTTAGACTGTGAGTACATTTTTACTTGTTTCAAGACAATAAGACAATTTATATGAACCTGTTTTAAGAACTGACCCCATCTAATTAAGATATTCCAGCTAATCAACTGTGATTGCATTCAAACTGATAGGGTTATTGAGATTGTCATTTATGATTTAGCTTTGAGATTCTGAACCTTAGCAGTGGACCATTCACTGTTTACAATACATCATAACTACTGTACTTCATACATATGCTTATTATAATAGAAGCTCTGCCTTAAAGGGGAACGCCATTTTTTTTACATTTGGCCCTTAATTTTACATTATTACATCGTGTTCTATGAGTTTAGTGTCATTTGGAGCCGTTCTCAAGATATTCCGTTAGGTTATATCCAAGTAACTTCTGCTAAAATATTAATAAAAAAAAAACTTTTTGAAGTTTTTGTCAAGTGTATTTTTCCCATTCATTCACTACACCTAAATAATGAAATAAATTCTAGCTAAGAAAAACAGACTAGTTTTAAGCCTTTAAATGAACTGGTATCAAGTACATTTGCCTTGTTTTTAAGCCTGTCGTTTGCTCGTTTTGAGCAATAATTGGTTAGAGGTTATTAAATTCTAAGCAATAATTACTAATAAATCAGAATACATTGCTTAAAATAAGAGAAAAAATCTTAACGAGTAAAAGAAAAAAAAGATTTTTCTACTTGATTTAAGTTTTGTTGGATGCTTACTACTTGGATATTAGGTTCTTGTTATAAGAAATCTTACCAAGTGTCATTTGCTTGCTGCACTAGCAGATTATTTTGCTAAAAATAAGCAATAATTCACTTAAAACACTATATTTTTTTCTAATTTTTTAGAAGGCATTTTTTGTTGTGTAGAAAAGAATAGAATAGAGCGGAATAGAATTTAATATAATATATTTAAAAATTAAAGCCAAGACACACTCATTTGTTATTTAGGCTGATATGATCACAAATATGGAAAAAATGACAATTAATAATCTACACAGCAGCAGACACTGCCAGTCACAGGTGCCATCTAACAGAATAGAACAGAACAGAATAGAACAGAAGAGATCACAACAGAATAGAAGATGATAGATTAAAACAGAATAGAACACAATAGATCAGTATAGAACAGATAACTTCATTTATCCCTGAGGTAAAATAGAGTGGGCTAAGAGCAGACAAAAACAAACACATTATTAAGTAAGAAAACAAGTAGGCAGGAAACAATGAGCGACCAACAGGTCTGCCAGGATGCTTAATGAAGTACTCTAATATTTCTTTTTAAAATGTATTTAAATGTCTTGGAGTTCAGTAAGAGAAGAGCAACAGGAATGGATATCGCCCTCTTTTTCAATATTTTGCTAATTGGGGCTAATTGCGTCCCAGAATCCCCCGTACTCCTCACCATCCTGGCCTATCCTGTGTTGTGCAGCTCCTTTAACAGACAGCTGAGCTGATATACAGGATCCCTTTAATTGCCATCTTGTACAAAACGGGCTGCAGTTGAAAGGTGAGTCCAGTTCATTTCAACCTCCTGAGAAAGTGGAACAATTGTTGGGGATGTTTGATGAGGTAGAAGGCGTTCTCAGTCCAGAATAGGTCAGAGGAAATAATAACCTCTGGGAACTTTATGGTCTTTTCATACAGAAGATCATGTCAATCTTCCTGGACCTCATGTAGTCTACTGGGACTTTTTAATGACTGTTATTTGTTTTAATTAATTTATTAAGAATGTTATATAAAAAAAATTCCAGATGAAAAGGAAAAAAGGGAGCCCACTTAAAGGAAAAAAAAGATAAAAAAGTAACAATGGGAATGGAAAAAAATACTCATTGGCTCTTTTGGAAGCATCTTCTTGTTGTGAGTATTTTTGGCTTTGAGCATTTTTGGATTTTTGTGGATTTATATTCTGGGATTTTTGCTTCTGTTAAAGGGGAACACCGTTTTTTTTTTCACATTGGCCCCTTGGTTTTACGCTATTACATCATGTTCTACTCATCCATATTAGTTTTGTGTCATTTGGAGCTGTTCTAAAAATAAGAAAAACCGTGCGCACCAGCTAGCATTTATTCATCTTGTCCGCTGAACTGCTGCTAGTTTTCCTCACATGCCTGGAAGATGTCTAGTGCTGCTACCACAGATGATCTCGCTCTAGAAATGGAATTGAACGATTCAGATAAGCTGAATGAATAGAAGGGGTAGAGCGTAGCCGCCTGTGGCCCGGGCTGCCTGTCAGAACTCCAGTCCGGCACCGGATGATGTCATACACGCACTGCTTTGTTTTAAAAATATATAAATAGGGACAGTGATTGGCCTACATGTTCTGAATGCTTGCGTAACATAAAGAATAAATGATGAACAGTTTAGATTGTGCCTACAAGTCATTGGACATAGGAAGACGTTACTTGAATATAACCTAACGGAATATCTTGAGAACGGCTCCAAATGACACAAAACTAATATGGGTGAGTAGAACATGATGTAATAATGTAAAATCAAGGGGTCAATGTAAAAAAAAAATGGTGTTCCCCTTTAAACTTTTGGTTATCTAAACATTCAATTTACCACCATAGTTTTGTGTCTGCATTTGGATCCTGTCAAACCACCACCTTCACTGTGACACAGCTGCTGGGTGGAAGGTCTGCGATGATGCTCTTTAGTGCACTTGGGGTGCAGCAAGCTCTCTCTGATATTTGTCTCCATATCTGTAAAAGCTTTATGCATGTGGTGGAAAACGTGCAACACTTCTGTCATCATCCAGGTGGCCTTACAAGTGAGCCTATTCGAATACTCCTCTGACCTGCAGATAAGATGCTGGCCCAACATAAGACATAAAATTTAATGATGCCACTTAAGAGTCAAGGAATTGATTTAGAATCTAGCTGTACTCCAAAAACTTTGTCGGTCAGGTAGGTTGAGTCTGGAGGCTTATAACAGCCCACAAAGACACATTACTTTGATGAGCCCCTGTGGTGCAGCACAGATCTCTACAGGACGTTAGTCAGGACAAGCCTGTCAGGCGACAGGCAAACAGTGAGATGATCCTGTATTTACTGCGTTAGATGGCGATCCACTCCTGATGGCGCCCTCCATCTTTTCTTTCAGAATTCTTGGTGGGAAGGTCATTCAAAGCATTGGAGAACGGAAAGAATATGATCCTCCCAGTATTTCAATCCACTGGACTTTGTTTCCAAGTTTGAAGATGTTTCAAGACGTTGACAAAATGATAGTGTTGAGTTTGAGGCTTTATAGACCAACAAGGCTTCAACTCAACTGAGTTGATTCCTTCCCGCTATGATTGTAACACCAACCTCTTTACTGGGGAACAGAAGACCAGATTGGTCAGTTGCTGACAGGCCTCCAGGATTAATTGACAGGTGGCTCCACATCTCTGATGATGGCGTAATCCTTTAAACTCCCCTTGTTGACTTCTAAAGCCTTCAATTAGCAGGTGAAGACATCGATGCATCGTCTTGTTTATAATTCCAGTGTCATAAAGAAGCGAGAGGCCCTGGTCTAGCTGCCTCAGCATCCTTAAGACTCTAGTGACTTTTCCTGTTTCGAACCAAACATTTTGGACCCTTCATCCACTAAATCTCAATGCTGGTTCTACTTCTCTAATCTATAAACCAAACTCTCCATCAACCAAAACAATAATGTGTTCTTTAAGCCTTTTACTAAAGCCCAGATAGTTCTGACTTCATGTATTTGTATCAATGTAACAAAGCTTTATAATTATCATTATCATTATTATAGTACAATATCCTTTGAAATGTAATTTAAAAAATCAGCTTTTTTAAAGTTGTTTGGTGGTGTGACTAATTATTTCAAAAAGAAATTAATAACAGGGACTTAAAATTGAAAAGCAGTCCTGGAGATTATATTAAGAGGCGGAGGCTTAAGGAGGAAATTAAAGTGGAGGGATAGAAATGCGGGGGTCAGCCTGAGGTAATCAGGAAGGCTCCATCTATAAAGGAAACAATCCGATCAATAAGGTCCAAAGGTGGAATAATGGGATAAAGGCTTTGAATATAAACATTTAGGGAAGAGCGAATCATTTCAAAGAAAGCAAGTAAAACGATGTTGTGATAAAACCAAAAGAGCCAAAAAAGGTTCTAAACCTTTAAAGAAAGAATATATTATAAAGGAAAATTCCAGTCAGCAAGGAATAATCAATGGATCATTATTTATACCTAAAACTAAAACGTTCGCTGTGATTTAATGAATTTACTATTAATCAGTAAAAAAAATAAAAATAATAATTTTTGTCCTGATCACTGAGTCCGGGAGCGGCCATTTTGCCCAAATATAGTAACCCCTCCCCCCTGCCATCTTCCAGCAGTGACTGTCGCTACCCGATCCGTACCGGTAACACGATCCGTACCATCAGCTCATTTGCGCCTGCGCGAACAGAATAACTTCCGGGTCGCCAAAAAATAATGTAATTACGGTACTGAAAAAACTTTATTTATATCCTTAAATAATTAAAGAATACTAAACTACATCGTAAAGTCAATGTTGAAGACTTTTCTGGAAGAAATGGATGCTTTTTAAATTCAATCCATTGTATTGCTTGACGTCATTTTTTCTGGAATAAAAATCCAAATTTTCGGGAAATATTCCCTTATCAGTGAAAAACTGCAGGTCACGAAAGGTAGCAAATGAATCCATTGTGGGATCAGTACTGCTGGAGTGCATAGTTAAGTTCAGAGTAAATCAGATATTTAAACAAATTTAAATATATACGCTGCTCTGAGCATGCGCATATTTGCGCATGCTCAGAGCAGTCAAAGTAACTATCACAAGGTGATTGAAGTTTTTTTTGTATTTCTGTTTTTTTATTTTTAGAAAATGCAATATTGACGAAAATACAAAGATATACAAAAAGAAACCCATGCCTCTAAAAAATACAAAAGAATAAAAAAGTAAGAAAAAGGATATATTGCCACCAAAAGTTATTCTGTTTGCGCACGCGCAAATGAGCTGATGGTACGGATCGTGCTACCGGTACGGATCGGGTAATGACAGTGACGTCACGGTGCGGTAAGCCTAGCGCCATTCTCCCCGCTTTCCAAGCTAAATCAATGGGAACTACTAGACACATCTGCAATCAACAACAATTATTGAAGATTTCCAGAGGACTTCACCATTGAAATTCACCAGAGCTATAGTGAAACTGACAATGCCCACGTGCATGGCAGCTGGATGCTGGAATACATCGGGTAAAAGTGAAAATAAAGAGTTATTCCACCTTTCTGATTCCTGATCCTCCACGGACGGGTTGGTCGTTGGATCGCCAACTTGAAGAGGGAGGATTTGCCATCGAACTTCTGGCCAGAGAAAAAACCCGTAATATGTAGCCAACATTTGGAAGAAGAATATTTTCAAGATGACTTGGATAATAGCGCGTTGTGACAAACACCAGATAGAGCACTGGGACTTGATCAACAGCCGATACCGCACCGTGACGTCACTAACCAGTAGGTGGCAGTAGTGTTCTTTGACAAACATGGATGCCTCCAGTAAAGCACATTCACATGAAAATTACTCTGAATTAAAAACACTGATCAATTATTGAACAGGATGGAATCATTTCATAATTAAAGAATAATATATAGAATAATATCTTTTAAACGCTGTCATTTTAGGTAAATGGTAAATTTTGTTTTCAAAGGTCACCAGTGTTCATGAGGCCATTGTGAAAGTAAAAGAAAGGCTTTAATGGTAAAATGATGCAACTAACAAAAAGATTAAACATGTAACATGTGAATTAATAATTTTGGGAGTAGGAATGATTAAGCAGTGTTTAAAGAATGGAATAAAATTGTTAAATATTGTAATTGTTCCAAGAGCTCAAATTATGTGTTTATTTAAATAAATTGTTAAAGCTGCTTGTAAAGCTAAACATATTCACAACTGATGTCGTTTAAAATACAAAAGTGTTGAAACTGTTTTTAAAAAATATTAGTTAAAAACTGTCTTTGACCTAAAGGCTATTGGACTTTTATCTTTTGATGAAGCAGTTTCAGCATTACATATGTTCTTTTCTGCATAACAACAAAATAAAAATAAACAGAAAAGGGGCGATTCTAGGATCAGAGGCTGAGCTCCCAGAGAGCTGTCTGGGCAGATAAGATTCATTTCACTGTTTTCTACACATATTTTTTAATACTTGTTCAGTGCATTTTGCTAAAGACTCCATCATTCACTAATTCATCGTATCTAAGACATGAGCCAAAACCTGACAAGCAAAGCAAAAAGCAACATTTTTAGAAGAATATTCTAACCAATTAAAGCTTTTAAATCAACTCATTTCATGGAAACCTTTGAATCAGTTTTCATGAAATGAGTTTTCACTTCTTTTGTGCCAAATTAACTTCCCTGATATATGTAAAATAGTCAACTGAATGAAATGTTTTTCTTTGCCAGTTTAACTCCTGTCACTATTCTGTCTGTTTTTTTTACCTGTTTTTTTCTGACCTTTCACCTTTCGCACACCTTGCTCCGTTCCCCCTTCTCCCTGTTTAGACTGGCAATCATAAAATGGATTATAAATAAAAAAAAATAAAAAAATACACCATCAATAGGTGCAGAAATCGGACTGAATATTGTAGAAACACCTGATTGCAATGATTGCTTCAAAGTGTTGCTCGACATTTTGGTTCATGATCTCCATTAGGCTTGTTTACCTTCTTTATTTGTTTGTTTATTATTTCTGATGAACCAGAACATAATTGAAGGGGTTAAATAACCAAATACTGTGTAGTTTTTCCAATATCACCTTTTTTGTTATTTATTTTAAAACAGACGCAACAGAAGCAGACGGTATTAGAAAAAAAAAAAAGAAAAAAAAAAAAAAAACAACAAATCATATTTTAGGGGCTTTGATTTAAATGAGGGTTGCTTCAAACCCGCCAAAAATAGGTTAAAAACGCCAATGGTTCAGAGTTTCTCAATCAGGAATCAAAAATATTTTGCTTTTTTAGTTGTTTTCCATTAGATTGGATGTGTTTTTCATAATTCCTTCTTTTTTTCTAGCATCGCGGCTGGTTTTTCACCGCAACCCTCCTCTGACGTCAGATCTGTCCTACTTTAGGGGTTTTTATCGGCCTGCTGTTCAAAAAACACCAACATTTCCAACTAAGGCCCGCGCAAAACATTAGTTACTAAAATGTTTTGCAACTTAGTAGAAACGAAAAATATTGTTATTTATTGTTTGAACCTCTAAAAAAGTGGTCAGAAAATAATTTTTTTGCGAACCTCCCCCAGCAGCCGCTGTGTTAATTACTCCAATTAATGGGAGGCTCTAACAACATAAAAAATTGCAGATATAAAAATTAAATTACACAATTTTATTCTAAATTACTGAAATATATTCTGCCTGCCAAAAGCAGAAAACAAAATTGCTAGAAATGACAAATTACAAAAACTGCGCATAAATGAGTGATTTTAGTATCTTAGCATGCAGATATAGAGAAGACAAGTTCTCTGGAAGAAGAAAGGATGCAAAAGGATTAAAGTGAGGAAAAACTCTGCGGCTTGGTTCCAAAGAAGTAGAAAAGAAAAGAATTCAATCCGCTTGACTTTTTTTCAGGTTTGCAGACGTTTCTTTTCCATCCAGGAAGCTTTTTCAATTCAAAATGTCAGAAATAGCGTTGAGTTCCAGGTTTTATAGAGTGGATAAAAGCAAAGCCTCGTTTTGCTTAAAAAAAACATGCAAATTAAACAATTGGTCGTTTCATCATTTTATCCATAAAGGGCTCTTTATTAGGAGTTAGTTTTAGCTCAAATAAACTGGAAAGGACGTAGCATAATAGTAATAATAAATATTACTATTATTATTATTATTGTTATTATACTATTATAATATATATATATATATATATATATATATATATATATATATTTTTTTTTTTTTTTTTTTTTTTTTTTTTTTTTTAAATTGGTTAAAAAAATAAATAAAAAATGTCCTTCTCCCTCGGCATTAACGTGATCATTTAACGGTTTTTGACATCTATTCAATCATGTTAAGTTACTTTAACACAATTATTTTATTTTATTTTAGGATATAAACCAATTGTGTTCATGATTGATTAGATGACAAACAAACAGTTGCATTTTTTTTCAGGTTATATTCGCGAAAAACGTGTACAAAATTATAATAGCCTATTATGAATCTATTTATAAACTATAGGCTTTAAAATAAATTTTAAAACTATCATGAAATTCAAATGTCTAATGATGTAAATATGATGATGTTAATAAACATCCTTTTCTCTGTTAATGCTCTGGATGAGGTGGTACCGTGTGGGAGGAGCGCTCTCATCCGGAGGTAGCTGCTGCTCAGGCGGATGATGGAGGCCTTGTCCAGCTGGGAGCTGATGGCCGCCGGCAGAGGAAGCAGCTTCGCCAGCTCACAAAACTCTCCGTTTTCCTTCTCTCTGCGCGTCTTTGCAGCGTTTTTCGATCTTTCTTTCATCTCTAGGGAATGATTTATGCTCAAAGAAACGTAGAAAATCCTCTTTCCAGAAGTTCTCCAAGAAATAAATTCATTTAAACCCAAAATAATCTGAACAAAAGTTGCTCCCAGGTGTTTCACTACTAACGGCTTAAAATCTGTATTTTCCATCCGTGTCCCTCTGACTGCAGCTGTGTAATGAAGCTGCAGGAGCGCCTGAAAGGATCCAGCTGAGGGCCAGGCCCCCCTGCCTCTGTGGGCGGAATATTCATTTAGGGGGTGTGCCGCTTTTTCACGTTTGTCCCACAAATCAAAACAATGTACCTTATTGGACTGAATCAAAATGAGCAAAAAAGGTGAAATGTTGTTACTTGATGCATGCAGAGCTGCATCTGCAAGCCCCTGGTCATTACCAGGGGCAGATTTAGGAAATGTGGGGCCCTAGGCAAAGACAGGCAGGGGGCCCGCTGAATGGAGAGGACAACACATAGAACAGACCCATTCTCCAGATAGAGAAATGTTAATAGAATAGACATCCATTATCTGTTCTAGGTTGTGTCCCTCTCTTCTTGTCCCTTTTCTTGTTTTCCTCTCTATGTTTTGTACTCAGCTGACTTTTCATGCTGTCTCTAAAGGAATGAAAGATGTTTTCCAGTCACTAAGCTCACTTAGCTGATTGCTCCTTCCTGTGTTTCCAAAAAGGCCAAAGTAAATAACCCAGTCCTTCTTTTCACTGTAGACAAGCCATGATCTGCTTCTCTGTTCTCCATTTTTCATTTGGATGAAATAATAGCTGCATGAATCATGACAGCAGACAAGATAGAGGAGAGCAGGAGGCGGGCTTACCAATCTACTCGCTCTGGAGAGCAGAGTTCGCTGCTTTTAGATGTTGTCTCCAAAGTCTCCAGTAGCAGAAAAAAGTTGCTAGATTTGGCGCTAGGAGCTTTTTAGAAATCAAAGTGCTAGAGGGGTCTGAAAAGTGGCTAAATATAGCGACTAAAGCGCTAAGTTAGCAACACTGCTCTTTGCATGGTTTGTTTTCAAATGGTTTGCTGCTGTCTGTTTGGACCTTTCTGAACATGTGCAGCAAATGGTCTGATCCAATATGGTGGACACTGAAGGGGGGGGGGGGGGGGGCACACTTAATATTATCAGAGCTCTGATGTCATTTTAGCAAAGGATTTTGATCAAAAACATAATTAATGAGCACAAATAAGGAATATTTGTATTAACCGTACATGGAAACAGAGTTTTATGGGGCCCCCAGGAACTTGTGGCCCCAGGCAACTGCCTAGTATTGCCTAATAGTAAATCCCTCCATGGTCATCACTATCCTGCGCAGAACGCTCTTAAAACAGAGAAGGGGAGGATTTTTTTGTAAATATGATGGAAACTTAAAGAAAAGAAAAATAACACCGCGAAGATGGTGGGAGTGTTTAGAAGAAGGTTCAAGTGATTATCAGGCAGCTTTTTGTGATATCATCTTAAAATTTGATCAGAGGGGAGCGTAAAGTGACACCGTCAAAAGAAACACACAGCTGAAAAAAATCCATGTGTCCCTTATCAGCATCCAGACAACGATGTATTTGAATCCACCTTCAAAGTATCGCACTGTTCTCTCGAAATGAAGCTGAAGTTGGCTTCCGATTCAACAAATGAGGAAAGGGCGATTCCACTTCATGTTTCCCTATCTTCAGCATCTTTAATCTACTCTAATAAAAAAAAACACCTAGTGACATCTAACCTGAAGTAGATTATTCTAAACTACTTGTAGAAGAAATAAAACCAGTTCTCTGATTTGTGAAACTTTAGATTTTAAGACCTTATTTTAGTGTCCATATCACACTAAAGGTGGCATAGCCCTAAAACTACTGAACCTAGACACATCTAACCTGGACCAATCTTGGTTCTCTTTATTCTTCAAGTAGTTTAGAATAATCTAGTCCAGGTTAGATGTGTCTAGATGTTGTAGTTTTAGAGCCAGACCACTTCTAGTGTGATTTGAACACCAAAAAAGGTGTAAGAATTTTTTTACAAAACATGGAACACAAAAACAACAAGAAAAAGGACAAGAAGAGAGGGAAAAAAACGTAGAACAAATAATCTATGTCTATTCTGTTAAAATTTCTTTATCTGTATAATGGATCTGTTTCATGAGTTGTCTCAATTCAGAGGGCCCCATGCCTGTATTTGCCTAGGGCCCGATATTTCCTAAATCCACCCCTGACTACATGATTAAAGCTTATGATGGAAAGTCCACTGAAACATTGTTGCATCATAGTAGATCTCAGGTAAGTTTTAATCAGTTTAAGTTTGGAGAAGCTTCTTTCAGCAGCAGCCTCCACGTTCATGTCTTCTCACATCTCCTTTGCTTCTGTCTGTTCATCGCAACATCAAGTGTTTCTGTAACTGGCCCAGGAAACTATTGTCTTCTTCACCAAGTCAACAGCGATGTCAAGCTGCAAGGAGGCTGAGTGCATCAGTTTTCTGACATGATGGATTTTGCAGAGAACTTTATACCATATGTCTGTAGATGCCAAACCAATCTCCTCAGCTAAAGACTGGGCTTCAACTCGCACCACAGGGTCTGTAGTTTCTCACCTCACCTCCAGAAGAGCCAGTCGTATTTGCCCAGCCTGACACCTACTGCCTCAACACTTTTTATCCTGTTTTCCCATCTGGTCTCTGATTTTCACATATTTAAGGGGACATCTCACCTTTTGGTGGAGGCTGAGAAGAGCTTGAATAATTTTGTCAAATGCCCAAAGTAGCCAAGGGAATCTGGTGAGCTTTTTGCAGAATCAGCTACTTCCAGATTTGAAGTGTAAGCGCCACATGGGACATAAAAAGCTCTTGAGTTCAACTGAAGCAATTTTGCCTGAACACCTTTATTTTTTTCCTTCATATTGGCGCCATTGTCATAGGACTAGCAGTCCTCAAATGGGATGTTAAATTCCTCTAGCCTTTTAGGATTAAAGATGACAAATGTTCTCCAGTTGACATCTCTGCCACCAGAAAGCCTAAGAAATGCTCTTTCAGGAACAGAGAGCTGTTCCTTATGACTCAGATCAGGGATGGAGCCTAAAATGATGGAGAAATATTTGGAAATTTTCCTTTTTGTCACAATGCGTTATATCATTTTAGATCTGATGGAGTCTATCAGCTAATTTTTGAATTTTTTTGCCAAGATAAGTACATGACGGCCAGCTTCATTTTCCACCCTGCTGACATGCTGCTTCGCTGGATCAAATCTGGTCATAATCACCTCTTTCAGAAAATGTCCATTGTCTGGTTTATTTAAAATGTTAAGAAATCCATGTTTCTTTCAGCTAAGGACTGAATTATTGTCACCAATTGATGTAAAACGTCACACCACCTTTTTCTCTTAGCGTCAGCCAGTGCCATCTCTTGTTTATCAACTGTTAGCCTTTTTGTAAAACTGACCTCCAAGTCCTTCCATGCTGCCATGTCTAGCATTACGCTCCTGGCTATCCTCATGGACCTTGAGGAAATGACTTGCATTTTTTTCAATCCTTTAGTCCCTCCCTACTTAGTTTGTATTCTCTTTTGGGGAAAAGAAAAAAAGCAGTGCAAGCTATCATCTTTTCAGAGTACATAAGCCAGATTTCAGATTTTTTTCACCATTGATAAAGAGTCTATTAAAATAGTTATGGTGACACCTTCATCTGTCTCTTATAGAGTAAGGGAAGTTTTTTATTTTTAATTTATAATGGACCTCTGTGAACCAACTCAGTAGTACCTTATCGGTTAGAGGATAAGGTCAGTCAGGTCTACCGGAGCAACATGAGGATCACTTGATGCTGCCTCATCACTGCTGTTTTGTGGCGCTGAGGTGAAGGCAACAGGAGAAACCTCAGCAGCGCATCTGAAGACATCAGACGAATATGTGACAACAGTCTAATAATAAACACATGATTTCTAAAGTTAAATTAAAAAAAATAAATAGAAAGGGATGAATGCATAATTTACACCAGTGTATAATATACAATATAATTTTTCTGATTAGTAATTATTAAAATTTTTTGTTATCACAGTGAAATGTGATCAACCAGAACCTTGGACTCAGTCAAGACCAACAGCGGATTTCAAAATCGTTTATTTAAACAATGACGGAGCGATCGAAGTGGCAGCAGCTGCAGCGTCTGAAGCAGGAACGTCTATTGGAGAAAAACACAGGTAAGTGACTACGATAATCTTACAGATGATTATGAAAGCATGAGTCACTAACCTGGTTTGACAGTTCAGTCCTGTGCCCAAAGAACGAAGATGATTCCAGCTGATCGACAGAACATAAGCAGCGGACGCTGCCATAGAGTTCCAGACGTGGAAAGCTGCAGAGCTGACAGGAGATCAGATCCAATCCATGGAGGCAGACAGGATAATCCAAAGGACAAAGTCAAAAGGCAGATACAGGCTTTGTCCACAGAAGAATCCGACAGGTGTACAAAGACAGGCAGGCAAAATAATCAGACAGGGTCAAAGGTCAAAATACAGAAACAGGTCAGGATTTGAAATTAGAACTCTAAAGAAATGCTAGAGAACTGTCAACACCAAAGGCTCAAGAATATCCTGGTACAGATGGCTTGGAAACAGGTAGCTTAAATTGGAAAAGAGAACAGGTGGATATGATGAGGAACAGGGCAGAGCAAAACAGGTGAAGGAAATGGGCAATCAAGCCAGTCGTCAGTGCTACACACAGAGTTTCATATGATTAATAGATAGATAGATAATAGATTAATAGATAGATAAAATTAGCTCTAACACGGCTTATAGCTAGGCTTAGTACTATCTAAGTAGTATTTAGATTGAGTATTACCACCCGGAAAAGATAAGATATTCATCAATGCAATGAACATTTTACCACCTGCTGAATAGATCTAATACACAGTGAGGAAAATAAGTATTTGAACACCCTGCTAGTTTGCAAGTTCTCCCACTTAGAAATCATGGAGGGGTCTAGAATTGTAATTGTAGGTGCATGTCCACCGTGCGAGACTTAATCTAAGAAAAAAATCACAATGTATGATTTAAAAAAAAATTTATTTGTATGATACAACTGTAAATATTTGTTGGCACACTAAGACTCGTTTCCGGTGAGGGTTGGACTCTGCCAAGGTTGCCCTTTGTCACTTCATAACCTTTATGGGCAGAATTTCTTGGCG